GGTCATATGATGACTTTTCTTAGAAGCACTTTTCTATACATTTTTCCGAGGCTTTATTGAGTATCGAGCCAACATGGTTGACAAAATCTAAAAAGAATTAATGAAATTGTCAAGTCTCTGCTAAAAGTTCAAGTCACTGCACCATATTGAAGAGCAGTGAAATGAAATCACTAAGCTGAATATCAAAGTAGTTTGAGTGGTACTCAAAAAAGTTGGGACATGTATAATATTGATGAAAGAAACAATGAATTCGTGCATTACAATGTATAAGATAAATCGAGGATTCAAGATCTAAGAGGGGGGAAAAAGAGTAAATTTATTTAAGCCCCTGTGGCCGATTCCGTTTTACTTCACCCAGCCTCTTCAACTATTGATCAAGATAATTATATTTACTTCAACCAGATAATATGCACCTATCTAGACGGCTCAACCCAAACAGTCGATGACTTAACGGACTGATGTCACCTTTTAGCTTGGCCGAATTTTTAACGTTAGAAAAAACGAAGAGAAGTTTCTGAATTCATGTTGATATTGTTTGAGACTCCAGCCCATCGTGGTTGGTGAGACTTGCAAGATAAGTTTAGTACTCGGAGAGAGCTCAAGTATTTCATTCACTACAACTAGTTAACGAACTGACAGCTTAACCAAATCACTCACCGAGATGGGATTGGATAATAATAACAATAGTTATTATAACTAACATTATTATATTGAATTTCTTTTTCGGTTACAAATTAAACAAATTGACTAAGAGATATACAAGAATCAATAACATGGAAATTTGTACAAATGAGATATGAGTTTTCAATTATTACGCCTATCATCAGAACAACACAACGTAAAAAAAGTAAAGGTCTGACAAAAATATAGGAAGAGACATTACGACACAAACAGAAATAAGCACAAGATCAGACGGGGGGAAAACAATGAAGAAAGGTTAAATGTCTAATTTCAAACAAAACCTGTTATTTTTAAATAATTTTGAGTAGAAAATTTCATATATATATATATTACAACGGCTTCTACAGCTCGCAACTAACATTTTTCCAGAGAATAGACATGAGAAGTTAAAAATTGATTTAATTACAATTAACTACTAGCTAACTCATCCTACTTTCCAAAAAGAGAGTCACTATCACTACATATTTGATAACCGCGATACAAGTATTTCATGCGATGTGTTTGGAAAATAATAAAGATGTATCTATAATCACTTAGACAAGTGGATTAGATTAGATTCAAGTACAGTTCTACCTAAATTATGGTTTGGACAATAAGGTAGTGTATTGTAATTCCTCTTCAATCAAAGTATGAATCAATTGTTAAGTACGCAGGATCTGTATACTTGACTATTGATAAATCGCAAAATCCTTCACAAATAAACCTATCATTTCAAGTCAGTGATACTTTTTACTCTAATATACAAGCATTATATATGGACAAAAAGTAGCAAGTTAGTCAGCTACAACGTAGGACCAGGCACATATATGCATCAGTTCAAGTTGCCACACCTCATTAGCAAAACAGGATAAACACCAAATTCATACAAGTAGGATGAGTTTTACCACCAGTTATCTGTTCTTCTCCAGAAAGTGCGTTTGACAGATATTGTTGTACTAGCCGGAGACTTGAATGCTCAAGTCGGGCGTCTAGGCACAGAAGAGAGTCGTTTAGGTGACCGATGGGGACTCGTTGGTTGCAGGTCAGATAACGGGGACCGTCTACTGCAACTGCACAGACCACAACCTGTTTCTGGCTAACACTAACTTTCGGCACAGTCATCGCCGATGTGCTACCTGACATCCTCCCTCTGCATCTCAAGCCTGGATTCAGATTGATCACATCGCGATCAGCTACCGCTGGCGTGGTTGTGTACAAGACTGCTGCTCCTTTTGGAGTACTTATCTGGACTCTGACCATGCCTTGGTCTGCGCCAATCTTACCTTACTTTTTAGTGGACAACGAAGTGACCGCCACCAACGGATTGATGTTAGCAAGCTGATTGCAACTTCTGTTGCTAGTAAGTGGTGATGACTTTCTGACTAAGGAATTGACGACGTTGTTTACAAAGGTTTAGGAATTAGAGAGTGTACTAACGTCATGGAATGAGTCGATAGTTGTCCCTATCTTTAAAAGAGTTTCACGTCGTTCATGTAACAACTATCGGGGGATAAGTCTACTTCCGATTGCGTCCAAGCTATTGGCTTCCGTCGTACTTCGTAGGTTGTTCAAAACCCGAGAAAGATGGACTCGCGAGGAGCAGGCTGGGTTTCGTCCTAGTCGAGGATGTATTGATCATATCTCCACCCTCCGCCAAATGTTAGAACACCGCCATACTTATCAAAGGCCAACAATCGTAGTGTTTCTTGACATTAGGGCTGCCTTCGTTTCGTTGGATAGGACTGTTCTCTGGGATTGTCTATTGAAGAAGGGTGTGCCTGAGAAGTTTATTAACATCCTAAAAGCCCTATACACAAACACCTCAGGCAGAGTGAGGGCATACAACCACCTCTCTCCATTGTTCCATTCGAGCAGTGGGGTTAGGCAGGGTTGCCCAATCTCACCATTCCTCTTCAACTTTGACATCGATGACATTCTGGAAACAACTCTGATCAATGTAAGTAATGGTGGTGTGGATCTGTTGCCTGGAGAAAGACTTCTCGATCTTGAGTATGTGGATGATATTGTCTTACTGTGCGATAATGTCCAAGGCATGCAATCCGCACTTAATCAGTTGTCAATCAGTGGCCGTAGGTATGGTATGTGCTTTGCACCTTCGAAGTGCAAAGTACTTCTACAAGACTGGTAGGATTCTAATCCTGTACTCACCCTGGATGTTGAGCAGATAGAAGTAGTCGAGAAGTTCGTGTATCTGGGTAGCTGCATAAGTGCTGGTGGGTGTGTGAGTGATGAGATCAATGCACGTATAGTGAAAGCCAGAGTGGCTTATGCCAATCTGGGCCACCTTTGGCGTCTTCGTGATGTTAGTCTGGCTGTAAAAGGTCGGATCTACAACGCGTCGGTGAGAGCAGTTCTGCTCTATGCTTGTGAAACCTGGTCTCTCCGAGTTGAGGACGTTAGACGAATCTTTGTGTTCGGTCATCGCTGTCTCCGAAGGATTGCTGACATCCAGTGGCAACACCATGTCAGTAATGCAGAGGTTCGGCATCGTGTGTTCGGGCACAGAGATGATAATGCAATCGATGTCACCATCTTGAAACACCGACTTCGGTGGCTTGGACATGTTCTACGAATTCCATGTCGTGCATTATTTGACGGCTCTGAGACTGGTTGGAAGAAGCGGAGAGGTGGTCAGTGCATGACATGGTGTCGTGGCATGAAAGAAAGCTACAAAGGACTGGTTTGTGTTGGTCCTTCACGACTCCCTGACTGGGGTCCGAGAGATGGTGCTACACAGTGGCTAGAGAAGTTATCAGATATGGCTCAGAATAGAAGCCAGTGGCGATCCTGCTGTGACCTTCTTTTACTTTCTTCATAAAAAGTGGTTGTGCCTCCCTTAACTGAAAGATTTCTTCTGATTGTACCTTTCCGTTCCCTCATTATTACTACACTACCTTAGACCAATCTCTTTGTTATTGTTCCCTTTTTTTACGCTCCTTACCTTTTTTTTCTCTTCGAATTCTCATTGTTTTGTGTGGCGCATATATATTGGCGCTCTCTTGTACCAATATTTATGTGTTCAAATAAATAAATAAATAAATAAATAATACAAGTAGTTACTTCAATGGTAGTAATATATAAAAGAAAGATTATGCATAAGGATATAATACAGGAAGAAAGAATTAGTTCGTATAAACAAAGGTATAAAGCAAAAAAAGCAACAAAACAACTGTTTGTGACAGAGCACTGACAGGATAATTCGACTGACCATAACAAGTTCTAAAGACTAAAATAGCATAACCCGTTAAGTTCATTCGAGATTATAATTGACGAACAGTAGTTTGTAAAGAAGCGCGCTAGATTTATAGTTGTATGTGCTTAAATCCTAAAATTTTCTAACAATCTGATGAATTATGATATGTAATATATACGTAGTATATAATGACAAATAAGTAGAGTATACTTGATTCCACTGAATTCTCGTTAGAAACATTAGGAAATCCATTTGAACCTCAAAGTTCGAAAGTGAGCGCATACGATAATTTTAACACATTAGTTTACGCAACAACACTGCACATATGTGAATGTCAGTCATTCAATCAAACTCAACGAAGAACCTGGCACATGTGTACATCGATTCAGGTTGCCAAACCCCGTTAGCACAGTGAGATGAAACTGTTAAAACGAATCCCAGAATGGTACAGCTAGTAACAGTATAAATAGTAATAGGAAAGATAGGCCATTAAAGATACAATTCAGGAGGAAAATATAAATTAGTGAAATAATTCGAAAAATTATGAGAAATTTCAAAACATAGGGCATAAGAGGAAGCAAAGAGGGATCTTGAGTCCGTAGCTGCTGGTCACAGTATTTATGCGGACCCCAACCAGGCAGTCTGCATTTGCTTATATGGCCCAGTCCAACAGGGGAACCATTTGGATGCAAAATAAGTAGTTTGATGGTTAAGTTCTTTTGTCGTGAGAAGTCTGGAGGTCCTATAGGTTTGACCTCCAATATAAAATCATGTGGATGGGCACTAACTACAAGTTTCATTCTAAAACGAAACAACTATACAGTGGTTTCTGTCTTTTTTTATCTGATTGTCTAGTTAGTGTAAACCCGCAAAATAAACTATGAAAAAAAAGTTACATAGAGGGTCAGTAAGTCAGCAAGTAACATACAGTAACGATAAGAGACTCATAAATACAAACAATTATTTTGACATTAATTGGGAAAATTACAGAACAAAAGACTAAATGATAACAATAAAAACCAGTAAAAAACAACGATAAAATCGAATCAAAGTTTCTTATAAATAAAACTAACTTAATGTCAAGGTAGTTAGTCCATGTAAACAAACAATAACAATCAATACTTACCAGGATTGATTGAGTCCAATACAGAATTTGGTACTGGTCGTCCTAATGAACCGGATTCGCCACTGATTGAACCATCTGGATTTTCAAAAAGGCTAACTGAATCTCCAACACCGCCACCAGTTGTATGAGACAAGAGGTTATCAGTAGCACCCTATGAAAATGAATGGATGCACACATATACATACATATGTAAAGGGTGTCAAATAATAAACTTACAAAATACATAATATGACAATAAAAACCGTACGAGAATATTGCTAAAGCTCCCATTCAAATAATATGAAGTAAAAGAATGTGTTTGATATTAACACTTACTAATAATGATTTGAATATCGTACCCATTAAAAATAAGATATTAGCTATCTAAAATTACTAGTTCAGTAGACAACGCATTGGCATTTAAATTAAAAGGTACTGGATCTATGTCCCAGAATGAACATTAACACTGGGATGCAAATAAATCTAGCTGACGAATCCTTCAAATACGATGAAACGCGAAATCCGAATCTCATCGCTAAACGCAATTTATTTGTTCTAAATAATGTTTTCGATTGTCGGGTTCATGTGAGCAACCTACCCAGTCTGGAAAAACAGATTACACCATTGGAATGCATCATCGAAAAAACTGTAAGAACAGTGCTCAGCGACTTATTTATTGTACATGCGTAAAACTATTTAAACTGATTTTAAATATGAAACTATAGTATTTCTTTAGAGCACAAAAAACCAATCAATCAAAATTAGGCTGTGATAATACAAATCGAAAATGTGAAAGTAAACAAGCCACACACATTGGTTATGCATTATTGTTTACATAATAAGCGAGTATAAGCAGTAAACATTAATTTCGATCTTAATTTCTAATGGTATTTTTCACATTTTGTCATCGTATCGGTAAGTAAATAATAAAGCAGTGTACAACATGGAACGCGTACGTAACATAAAAACAAAATGAACAAGATTAAATTTGAGCTAACATATGAACAATGAAAATTTCAAATGGGGAAATACTGGATGCTCCACATTCTTTTCAATAATAACAACTCGTTTACTCAATACGGAATTCTCAACGTAAAACAGACCATGAAAAGGGACGGTTTCACGTTTTCTAGATTTCAAACCACACGGGCAAAACATTTAAAGCTCCAAGATTTTGGTCTTTTTTTATGCAGTAATATGGCTTAGATGCTCGTAACAACACTAAGTAACTAATTCAGTTTATCATCGTTACGAATCCCCGATTGGAAGTGGAGAGCAATGATGCGGGTCTTACTTGTTTTCAGGAGCGGCGTTGCCAGCCAACTCAAAAACTACTTCAACCACATATATCAGATAAACTAGATAGTCAAAACCGATGAGCTTAGTGCTTTTAACTTTGAGGAGGCCATAAAAAGACCAACTGAGAACAAGAGACCACCAAGGGCTGACCGAATCTCAGCTTTGGATCGAGATATTCCACCTTTATTATTGCGTATACTCATGATTGTAGAACCAAATGATAGAGTCAAGAAACGTAGACATCCCTAACAACCCGAACAGTAATGACTTTGGGGAAAAATAAATTTGAAAGGGGAATCAAACAAAAGTGGAAAGTGAGATTAGACAATCCTGAATTGTCCATACTCTGATCAAGCTAAAATCTGGATACATTGATCGGCCCATTTTCAGCTATTAAGTGTTAGTGGACAGATCGAGAGACTAAAATATTCTTATACAAATTCAATGTTAACTCGTGTTTTTACCGAAATATCTTTGTGGTTTGTGTTATTCGAATATGTATATTGTTCGATCTGGATTTTCGTCCTGATTTGGGAAAGAATCGAGTAAACTAACACGGTCAGGCAATGCTAACCAGTATAAGGATATAATAATTAATTACAGATGAAGTTGAAAGACAGTTGAAGTGATATTACTGATTGTCTAAGATAAAATACAAACCAGAAAACAGTGTTCACTAGACGTATACGCATTACTCATAATGACAACGTGAATTTTCATGGTTAAAACTGAACTATTACACACTCACGAAGAATGAAAAACCTGTGGTAATCATATGTTACAAATGAAAGTCGCAGAGTATAAACAATAATTTCGAGAGTTATCAGCTTTAGTTCTTGCACCAAAGCTTTATTAACAGATATAACAGAATATTAAGTTAAACAATCTGCAAATTTAATACAACCGATTAATGTTTTTAAATAAAACACTGCTTACAGAATTTTGTGTTGGGTTTAAAACATCACAGTGCTGTTCAGATGCATGAATTGTAGATTGTGAATAATTACTACCACTGCCACCGCTAATACAGTTATTATTACTATTATTCCAGGATCCATTTGTCGATACAGATATTGAAGATTGTAAACTTAGCTCTGATGCATGACAAGATAAACCAGTACTATTAGAATATTCTAATCCATTTCCGATAGTGGTAGAACTTGTTGAATGTTTCGTTGATCGTATTGTACACCGTGAATCGGATCGAGTGCCACTACCAAAGGATGTGGAATATTTACGATCACATAAAACATTCGAAGTAACAAGACCAACTGCATAATCAATTGCTTCTTCTATATCACTAGGTATTTGATTTGGATCATATAAACTGTGTGTGATAGCTTGAATGGATTCTTCGAACAAACTGACGTCTCCAAATATGGCTAACTTTGAGTCCTTGAATAAGAAAACAGATTATAATTTTTAGATAAAATGGTGAAATTGATGAGTTAGCCAAGTGTATAGACACATCACATGTCCGTGTTCATAAGCTATTTCAAACAGGTGAAAAATTATAAATAAACATACTGCTGGAGAAAGTTGACTATGCACTTACCCAAGGTTTCGGACTAAATACTCATTTCTAGGTCGACAGGTTAACAGTATATATATATATATATAAAAGTTCATAGTAGTTAATTCAGTGGTAGTAGAAGAAAAGATTTAATACAAGGATATGATACAGGGAGAAGGAATTAGCTCGTAGGAAGAAAGGTATAAAGTAATTTCAATCTCATAGTTTAAGGGAAGACAGAGAGTGTATACACCGACCCCACTGTGATCGATTCTGAACCATGTCATCTAGAACCTCCAACCAATCATTACGATAGTCGCGCGGAACCCAACCAATAAAGCTGCATCTACCAACATGGTTCAGACCAGAGGTTAGTGACTTTATGGACTGATGTCACGTTTTGGTTTGACCGCCACTAACTTTCTTCCATCCGTCTTCAACACCGGTCAGCACCGCGAGTCAGTGGGCATGCGCATTACGTAACCCAACCATCTCAGTCGATGTAAGTTATTAACTACCTGTCCTTGGTTTGTGAACTGACGATAGAAAAGAGCTTTGAGGTTAGCATCACTTATTATGACTTCAACTAAAGTAGATGTAATTTCAGACGTCATATCAACAAGAAGGTACAAGCTTGATTTTTAAATTTAAAGAGTCATCGGTTAACTTCCAACAGTTTTGGTAACAAAACTAGACTAAACATCTAATTTTTTCCTTCCATTTTTGTGCTCTTTGACAACATGTAATCACAATCTAGGGAGTTTAACTCGAAAGTTTCTTTTTTCTCTACTTATATTTCATTATTAAATTTAGTTACTCAGATCACAAATTAATGATTGGTTAAAATGTGTTAAACTAATCTGATTGGCACATGTTTACGAATGATTGGGTCAGTCAACTATTTTGGATTAGCTCCGCTGGTCACGGCTTCGCACTAGAACTCCGAGAATTCCCGCGAGCGGGATAGTAGATGCGCACTGCTGGGGAGTCCCACAATAGGACGAAACGGCCGTCCAGTGCTTCCAGGTTTCCAAAGGTGGTCTACCATCAATCGGTTCATGATCTCAATCAAGAAACATATTTTCATCGGCCTGAGTTACCATATTACATTAGTTTGATGAGATGAAATTCATAGGATGAAAAACAACTGAATTAAAATGATGTAATTGGAATGATAATGAGAAACACTAGGTACTGAAATTATGATTTGAAGGAAAAAAAACAATGAAAAAGTATGAATTCTGGAACTCAGGATCTAGAGTAAGATGAAGCGTAAATTTACCACTAATGATAAGGGTAGTCACGTGCTTACTAACCAGGTAATTTGGATTTATCAACATGGATCAGATCAATTATCAATAACTAAATGTATTGATGGGCTCTAGCTTTTTTTCCAACTTACTCCGATACCATCTAGGATTTTCAATGACGGTAGGCGATGATTAGGCATATATAACACACGTCTTAACCAATTTTCTATCTTTTCCTATTAACCTACGATTCATCTCAATAGTGGTTACATTACATCGACTCACTTTTGTTCATCTCCTCGATGAGTGATTAATTAATGCGAAAATTAGCTATGTACAATGGAAGAAACAAATTACTTAATACAATAACGATTAAAAGATAATTTAAAATTAAAGAAATGAAGAATAACACTTACACAAAGTGTAAACATAATTTTACCGACTGAGAGTAAATAACATCGATTGATTCTTCGAATATAAAAACTCTTATATACACAAGAGAGTAAATGGAATCACACTAACTAAACACAAATCCTATTGTAATAAGCAGTGGTGTACTATAGTTAAAATATCAAGAATTAATAAATACAGAATATAATAGGATATTAGTTTAAAACTTTATAATTACTAAAAAGAACAATGAATATAGCAATAAAACAACACTGAATAAAACAATAATGGCAGTAGTAGTACTACTACTAATAATAATACGTATAAAGTACAATGTAAGACAGAATACAAGTAAAGAATTATTATACAAAACACATGCATATGGGATGTAGGTTACGTTTAAAAATATGAAAAATAACATACAAACAAAAAAAACACTGATCTAGGTTATTCATTCATAGATGATGAATAAATTATCATTGATAAGTCTGTTCCGTGAACGTTTGTTCTTAACTTTCTACTCGCTTCTTATAATTCCAACAATAAGGGAAAGGCGTTAAATATGAGTAAGAGCTTTATTCCAAGACGAGCTATGTACAGAAAAGAGTATACTAATGCAGTTTTGTGTGACCTGGGTCTTACATAGACTTCTGAAAATATACTAAATATAGTAACGATATAGATAATTATCCAATTGGAACGCAATACAATCCTTCATCTTTCTCGATGTTTCTGAAACGCTTCTGTTCACAACGCTGACTGGACAAAACCTTTCAAGGAGTTTTCTGAGCCTTTAGAAACTTTGACGATGGATATTTTTGGAAAGCCACACAAACGTCCAGTAAGTACGAATTTTATTTGTATTAAGTGAATCTCAGTCTAAGGATTATTAAGACGCGCACTAGTCACTTACACTACAACGAGTTTGAAAATATAGAGATTGTCAATGCATGACATAATGGATAGTAATGGGCTTTGATTGGGTTCTTTAATGATTACTAGAAGGATTGAAGGAATGCTTATTGATTGATAGTACGCAATACAATTTGGCCGTGTGATTGCTGTTCACGATACAAAATAATGACAAACCATCCATTTGAACTGATAGTATGCAAGTGTACAAAATCTCAACATAAAAATAAACATGATTAGAAGTGAGATTTCGGCTGGAGATAAAATCTACGTTATCAAGTCATTAAAGTGCATCTTAATCAACAATTACAGTTATGTTTACATTTATTTAGTCACTCGATTGTAGATATTTTGGAATAACTTCTATTGGAAGTATGACTTTTGCTACGTTGTAATTTTTATTCATTATGATTGAGTGCGCTATACTTCACACATCCGTAGCACAATATTTTCGTCTTAGAAAACTTTACATTTTCCATGTTAGCAAGTAAAAACGACAGAGAAATAAATACGCCCTCCATCATGGACTACAATAATATAAATAATAATTTCTTCTTCATTTTGGTAGGTTTCCGGATGCAAGGTTAAAATTGCGAGAGTGGAGTTTGTCATTACCCAAGCGTAGCTGTTAAGCTCAATTCTTATCCATCATATACGAAACCTAGTGGTTTGAGACGTTATCAAATACTGCTCATAGAATAGAAGAGAACACTGATTCCACTGCTTTTCTATAGTATACTATTTACACACAGTCGACCTTGATTACTTTAGTACTCGATATGTATGCAACACTATGTACTGCTTTTAGTTTTATTTCATTACTTTTTAATCTCTTATTTCTTTGAAGCACTGTGCACTTTTATGTTCTGCTCAATCTTACCAAATATTTTATCACAATATTTTTCAAGAATCTAAGTGAAAGGAAAACAATTCCATACAAAGTCAAACAATGTGAACCAATGGATGAAGGTGTCAGATTCTACATTGTGCATAATTGACCGACTGATTGAATGATTAACTTTAAACATGTATAAAAGCTAAAGATTTCTTAGTTCATTGAGATATTGAAGTAAATGTAAAATACCCCCTTGGTTATTTGTACAATAAAAGTTGGTAAAACAAGCAAACAAACATACAAACATATGCAAACACAAAATTATTTGAAGATAAAATGATGGACTAAAAGAGAAACAGTTGGTGAAACACATTAAATAATTTGTCGTATTGAATATCAGTTAATCCATGAAAGGTAACGAGGCGAATTGAAATACAATCATCAAAATGATAGAATATGTCAGTTATATATGTTAACAATAAACATGCAATACGATATATATACGGTATAAATGAAATTAATTGGATCTGACTTTTGGATAAACATTTCAAGTATTTATAATATGGTGCAAAGTTTTCCATCTAATATAAACAATATTTTGTTGTATTATAAGGAATACTGATTTGTGTTCGATAAATGTCTGGACAGTAAACTTTGAAATACAACACACCTTGATTAGCTTTATTTTAGGACGAGAAGGAAAAAAAATTAGTCAAGTTTAATTAATTTGTATAATCCCGGATCAATTCTATGGAAATATATGAACTAGTGTTAGATGATGATTGAATGTAGTTGATAAGATACTCTAAACATACATTGTATACAAGTTGGAGTTTATCAACAAGGTAATTTCAAGGAAACGGATGCTCTCTGAATGATTCGAAGTCGGATCACTCGACATTACAACATCGAAATATAGTGCACACAATATTGAACTACACAGACTAGTTGGCAAATAATTAGATCGATAAAATTTGGTCGGCATCAAGGACAAAACAAATATGATATTTACCACTACTCACTGACTATTTAGTGTAAGTGCATAAACTAACTGATTGTGTTAATATACAGGCACGATGACAGATTTGGTTGAAATACTTAATAACAATCAACGTAGAGTTTGGCACACATGTGTGTTACAACACCAAATATCAGCTAGACAAGATAAAATTGACAAAACGGATGACAAAGAATTCGAAACAATTCAGTAGTAATGATTAATAAAATGACTAAAGTACTTGGTTCAATCGGTGTGAATAGAAGCTTTCTAGAGTTGTAGAAAACGAAAGTGTGTCATATCCTGAATGGATAATTCCTGACAATATTACCAATTTCACCATGTTCCCAGAAGCTTTCACGATGTCAAAGTCATACACGAAACTACAAACAAACCTGTCTTTAGTATCCAAACTAACCCTGGAAGTAAATCTTTCTTTCTACAAACTCCCGGTTTTCTGCCCAGAGTTCAAATGCAAGAGATTACCAGCAATTAGAAAGTGCTGAGAAAGTCAGTTTCAAGATTTGGTGGAATGTGAATAGAAGCATTTAATTTTGTACAGAAGATACACCTTAAAGTCTAAGGCAAAGTACAAATTTTCACACGAAGATAGGTTACTCAACTGTACAAACCTAAATAAGCCTTCTTAACAGAGTCAATATACATATATGTACTATATCTGATAATCAATATCAAAACACAGTAACCATTGCACTAACTTTAAATGCACATGAAACTTAATGGTAAATTGGAGAATGGATAGGACTGGAATCCAAGAATTGCATTTTGTCGTGTTTAGGGCACATCACCTAGATGTAACTAAATCCCAGTGTTGGTGTGCACATTGTGACCATTTGCCTCAAAAATAAAGACGTTATCCACTTAGTCTACATAACCAAAGAACATGATGATTATATTATTATTACTAGGTAGTTGTTGACATTCAGGACTGAATTTTGATCAGATCCTGTTGATATATGTGTATCCTGAACAGATCTCCATGACATAACTACTTGAACTTAGCAACTCACTGATTAACGCCTTGAAGCTTGAAGCAAAAGGTACTAAGTTTGAGTTTTGCTTAAAAAATCAACACTTGGATGCATGTACATCCAAGTGACAAGTCTTAAAACAGGACGAAACACATATCCTGAATTCCATTGCCAGTCAATGTGACTTTTAAAAGAAAACGTTTGATTAGATAAGAATATAGAGACAATCCAATCACAATAAACATATCCTGAAAGAGATTAATCAATTGCAGTTCAGTACGGTAAACAGAATATACAAACCCATATAAACACATACCAAATTTAATTTCATAAATATTCCTCGGGTTTTTTTTCACCAACAGTGAAAAACCATCCATTCAAGACCAAACTAGTTAGTTAAGAATTTATACGAAAAAAGGTTAACAAAAGATTTTTTACAGACAGATGGATATATTATGCATATTTACGAGCAGGAATTACAGATTTTATACAATAACAACCGTAAAAATACACACTATTTCGCTATAACTACATGCATACATACATACTGTCTGAAAACGACAAGCATACGTTTCGTTCACACACTCTCTCTCGCACACACACACACGCACGTATATGCCCAAAAAAGGAAAGAAGATAAGAAAGAAGAAAAAAGAAATGTCTGTTTTTTTCGTAGAAAAAGTCAAGATGCTACTTTGATTTGTATGTATTCCAACCAGCTTTGTATAAACGTACATGGTGAAAATATATACGCATATATATATATGCATTAATGGTTAATGAAATGTATATCTAGGTTAAAATGTTTTCGATTTTTCCCTACATAGTTTAACTTATTCAATACATGAATCATAGTTGAAAACCAATTAGAAACAATTGAAACCAGATAATGATTTTGGTTTAATGTGAAATGTTGAAATTTCAAAGTTCAGTAATAAAATAAACTGTTTTCTTTTATCTTTCCACATATTAGTTTTTCTAGGAAAAAAAAGGAGGTAATTATATTCAATAGTTGAAATCATGAGTCCACTGAAGCTAGACCACCATGGGAAACCTGGAAACACTGGACGGCCGTTTCGTCCTATTATGGGACTCGTCAGCAGTGTGCATCCATGACCCCCCCCCCACGAGATTCGAACACAGGACCTATCAGTCTCACGCGCGAGCGCTTAACCATTAGACCAGTGAGACGGCATCCAACGGTGTTAATGTATAACTTCAACCAATCCAGGAAATTGCGCTACCGTACACCATTGTTTTCAGTGAGCTGATATCTCACAACAGACCTGGTTGAACTCTACTGGTCACGGCTTCTCACTAGTGTTCTTAGATTTTACATGGTGCTCTAGTTACAAGTGACTCATAATTTTAAATATTGAAATTACTTAAATCTCCACAAAACCCCTTCTGAGTTAACTAACTGTCTATGAAAATAGAACCCTCTATTAAATTTCAATAAACACCAAAAGAAAAACAAAACGAGTCTACATAATTTCATCCATTACAAATCGATAAGTTCTTTGAGTATTAGATGTGTGTATATTACCCAATTCAATCACAAAATGAAGTTTTTTAAATATAGAGTTACAAATATATATGACCAAATTAATCAGACAAACGAATTTAATCAATTCAGTCAGTCAGTCAGTCAATAACAACGTAGAACTTCGTACGTACGTACATCAGTTCAAGTTGCCATACCACATTGGCACAGATGCAGTTTTTGATTCAAGTCCCGTAGTGGTAGAAGTAGTAAAAGTATAAGCAGTAATCGGAAACATTAGAGTTTGAAGATGTTATTCAAGGAGTACAATCCAGTGAAATAAATTAGGAAAGCGAAAAAGGGACACTATGAATTCAGAAGATTAGAATTCGGTAGAACACAAGGAGTGGATGCACCTGCTCACACCATTGCAAACGACTTTGACCCATGTCATTCAAGATCTCTAACCATCGGTTGGTATCATCTCACGCTCTCCAACCAGGTAGTCTACACCTACCAACGTGGCTCAGTCCACTTGTCAGTGACTTCATGGATTTGTGCCATGTTTTGGTTTGGCCGCCCCTAGCTTTCTCCCAACCTACTCCTACACCAGAAAACATCGCTCGTCGGGGCAGTCGGTGGTTGGGCATAAGTAAAACGTGTCCCAGCCATCTCAACTGATGAAGTCTCATCACTTCATCAATTGATTTGCCATCCTTACGAAGTACCCGTTCCCTAACAACTGCATTACTTACTCGGTGGTCCCATGATAGATGCATTGCTCGTATATCCTGGGACCACTGAGTAAGTAATGCAGTTATACAAAATGTAGAATCTTATAGGTATTTGTATCAATCCAAGATGATATATCATATTTACAAAGACAAATGGAATGATTTGGACAAGTTCAAGAGTATTAGAAGTAGCAACAGTATAAAAGTTAATGGAAAGAACTAGGTATAGACAGTATGACCCAAGAAGAAAAAATAAGTTCATGTAATAATTATAATAGTCATTCTCAATGAAAATTATCTTGGTTAATAGCAACGTAGAACCTGGCACACATGTGCATCGATTCAAGTTGATACATTATATCACAGTTCAATAAGATGGAATTATTAAAACAGGCATCATAGTTGTAGAAATAGTAATAATATCAATGGTATTACAAAAGATTAGGTCTACAAAATATGATATGGCAAGATCAGTCAATACATATCTGTGCCAGAATTCTACATCGATGATGACTGAGTAAAATGATTTGCAAAATAATGCATTTGTGTAAGAAAATTATACGATAATTTTAGCACTCATGATCTAAGAGAAGATAGTCTTGATGGAGTTTTGTTCTCTGAGCTGGATGGTTTGGTCTTGGAGCTTTTATCGTTCTTCTGAACGACATCACCAGCACAAACTTCAGATACAGTCTTTCCATCAGCGTTACTGCAACAGATTCTGAGTTATACCATCTAACGTTCCCAAATACTGGTTGAGATAATCAAGTGATCTCCAACTACATAGTCTGTATGTACCAATATGACTCAAATCAACAGCAAATTTTAGAATAGATGAGCTGAGCTAACGAATTAAAATTAGCAGTCTTTTTTGGACCCCAAATTTATGAGAAAATCGACTGTTTCAATAGCGGAACACTAATAGAAGAAAACAACTTTTAAAGCTATTCTCCGATAAAATACTATATGCTGACGAAAGTTCCTTAAGATAACGACAAAACCACTGATGTTCAAGGGATTAAACTGAGACAGACATGATAAATGAATAAACAGTGGTAAGCTAATTCACCCGGTATTGAAGTATGGGCCACACTCTAATCGTGACGGTTAAGGAATACTATTTAGTTACCTAAACTGAAGTGGGTAAAGCGGGGTTCGAGCATAATATTAGTGGCTGAAAGTTGAATGATAGAACCAATAAGCTACCACTCTATATATCCTTTAGTAGCTGAATAGTCAAAACATTTAATTTTTAACAAATACCTAACAGGTTAGAATCCGTTACAACTGCTACGTTAATAATAATATAGTATCCCAGCCGACGTACAAAACGTACTCCTGAGGGCTTAACACAAGAACCTGAATTGTGTGCAACAAAGTTACAGTAAATTTTTACTACTTTTCCATTAAGTACATCTGTTTTAAAAACAATTACTACATTGCTTACATCAATCACATAGTCGAATGACTTCAAATAAGAAAAAGACAAGTTCTGTAACATTTTAATAAAATGATGCAACTCACCAAAACCGGTTTTAAACAGGTAAGCAATTCAGCAAATCGTCTACGTTCTTCAACAACTGCTCTTCGTAAACTAACACGCTCCAATTCTGCTAAAGTTTGCTGTTTCAAAATTAGATCATGTTGAACAAAATTTAAGTGCATATTATCACCAGAATGAAGAACAGTATTGTTATTTGAATCTATAGACTGCATCGTGGAAAATGCGTAAATTTCATTATGCGAACTGGAATCCACACTCCCACTAATACCACCAACAGTACAACTGGATGCTGAGCTTCCCTATATAAGTAAAAACACATGAAATGAGATAATTGAATCAATATGTTAGATTACTGCATGCTAAATTATTACATAGAAATTATTTACTAGATACAGATTATTTTGCTTAGCTTTAAGCCATACACTAAGTGTAAGAGCTAGTGATACCAGTCACTTTCTCAAGCCGAAATATGCCGAGCAAGATTCGAATTAGAGACTGAAAATTAAATGTCGTAGATAATAATACACCGCTCCACTAGATGCATAGAAACGAATATGAAATGTGTTCTACCAAAATTGAAGCAATATTATCAGATCTAGTTTCTTTTAAGAGGAATCTATATGAATATGGATTAGGGACTCAAGGAAGTACTATTTATTCCCACCCACCCTCGCCAGAAACAGTAATGAATACTAGCAAGACTTTTTTCTCTATCATTTTATGCTATGCTTTCATTCCTACTACTAACCACGTTCACTATCTCTTCAACTTCTTTCGTTTAGCAACCAAGGTAAGTTTACACACTACATTCCAAACCATATTCTTCTGCCCAAACTGATGCCAACTTAGATATTAGAGATTATACGCTGTCACCATTGTTATCATCCATATTCTGAAAAGGTAAACACATAATCTAAACTATAACATAATCACAGATGACCTTAGTGAGCTAACAAAGATAAAAAATGTAGTAAATATTATATAATCACATATCGCAGTTTAGTGGTTAAAGTACTCGGTCTCTAACCAATAGATTTTAAGATCAAAATTTATTTCACCTACTAGGATTTGGGTAAGCGGATAATATCACAAGCCTTGAAGTAAACAATGTGATTCACAGCAGATTACATAAAACCCGTAATTGGTAAATAGGTTAGGTTTGTATTAAGTTAGTGGACTTAGGAAGTCACTAGTAAGGCAAATATTTGATTACATTATATTTTGGAATCATAGATGAAATAGCAATATTATAAGTGGAAAAATTGAGTGAACACATCTAGAGCGTACCCCCTACTTAAACATACATAAATAAAGATTAGCAATCAAACGACAATGTCATCACTTGAATCAACGCAAACAGACAACTGCGTACATGAATTCGACAAGGCGAATGTCATAAGTGTGGATCGAAAAAGGTTTAGGAATCCCTGACTGCTTTGTCAGAGTTCGCATGATAACTGCGGTCAGTGATTAGAGGCCTTGGGTGAAACGGCTCGAAACAAGCTGCAGTAACCCAGATGTATTCACTCTCTAGTTTCCCCTAGATGTTAAGATTCTACATTCTCATATGACTGAATGATCAATCTCAAGAAATGTACAGAATAAAATTTTAGACAGTCTGCAATCAACAAAAATACTAACACAGATTCGATCTATCAACTCATGGGGAAAAGGTCAGAGGTTAACTAAACAGAATCTTTGAAGGCAAACAATGTTATCAAAACGAACCAATTTGCCGATTATTGGAATAACTCGAAATAGTTCACTTCCGACTGAAACAATAATAATGTTGTCAATATGAACAACGAAAGCTTCGTAACTAGACCAGACAGCTATGAGGCAACAGACCACATAAAATAATGAGATAATAAAAATAGTCACTGAAAACATTCAAGTTTATTTATCCTGACGGTCATGAAGTAAATAATAGAAGTTACCGAAATATGGCACGAGATCCAAAACTCCAGATATAAGTGCTTAAATAGTACTCTTACAAATATAATTTATGTTAATAGAAATAAACTGTGGACGAAGCCCTCATCGATGACCTAATAGATAACAACGTGAAACTTATGTAATAAATGCAATAAAACATGAATGTTGAACGTGATTTATCACATATCTCTCACATCTTATACACACCTGCAAACATAGTTTAACAGTTAAACAGTAAAATATATTTTTGACGTCCCTCTACCCACTAGTGATTTTTTTATACCACCAACTTGGATACAAGCTGAAAATCTGACGAGTCATACCCAAGGTCATGTCCATCAAATATGACAGAGATTTTTACAGTATTGTTAACGTGTTACTACATATTTTATGGTCGCAGTTTCCGTTAGTAACAATCTACAAAAGCCATTGGGTAAAACCAATTATTTCATTATGAAAACACATGGAAGTTGTTGGAATTTTATCTTTACATTAATAAGAGTTTGTAATTCGCCATCATTGAAATTTTCGCTTCTATATACCCGTTGAATAAGTTAGAAGGTAACTGGACTTAGTTGCACAATGGATACTAAGTTGGTGTTTGAGCCAAAATGTAATAGGTTGAAGTCTCAATATGAACATCAACACACCGGAAAACAGGTGCATCCAACAGACGAGTAACAAATAGGATGAAACGATCAGCCTAAATGCTACAACTAGCATTGGTAGGTAAAGTAGAATTTGAACCTGTGACCTACTTAGTTGAAATATCAAGTAGTTTAAATACTAAGTCATCATCACTCTTCAAAACGTACAATAGAAAACTACTGTTTATCAAAAGCAAAGTTAATTTAATTACAACAAAACTTTTGTTTAAATAGAATAAGTAGATCACTTATTTACTTTATTAACACAAGGAACTGGATTATTTAAAATTAAGAACAATTTTAAAATGATTTTACCCCACTAAATAATATAACTATACGCAACTACATATGCACATAACGTTTTTACATTATGAGTCCATTCACAACTGTTACACTTAAAATAGATACACAGAAAAACTGATTATTACCTACAACGAATAAATAATTATTTTTAGGAAATGAAAGTAAACAAAATTGATTGATGCAGAGTAAAGTAAACAAAAACAACAAACGGCAACAATACATCACCACATGATCAAAATTGGATGATTGTTTTCCTTCATCATGAAGAACAAGACAAAACGAAATAAAGGAAAAAAAGAGGAAACAATCACCCAACCAGTTAGAAATTTTTTTCAAGATAGTCGTACTTATTCAAAAGGTAAACACGAAAACAAGAAATGAAAATCATCTGATTGTAACTGTATATCGTGATGGTTCAATTGAGAAGTATTGGCTATAAACGTTTATCTGGGTTTAACCAATTAAAATAGATCGATTGAAGAGATCTAAAACTTAATGTCTGAGGGAGAATTCGTACCGATGATTGTTCGGTGGGTGCGATGGTAGTAAGTTGCTTTCCTCAGACTATTAACATTTCAAGAGATTCCGGTTTTTTACGAAGGAAAGAGGAGATTAAAAGAGATCATTCCTAATAGTAATACACTAATAGGTAAAACCAAGAATTCTCTCGCTGTGTTGAAAAACAAAAAGTAACAGTGAATCTCAAACTTCTAACACCATTCGAGATGTTTTAAACAATGTAACAAAATTCACTTTTAAAACAATTCAGAAAAGAAGAGAATACGGTGAACACTGATTAAGGAAATAGTGGTGGATATATGCATTACATCATGAACCTACTCTCTACCTATCAGATACACAGGGATATATATACTAACTTCGCTCTATTAAATAATGAGTAGGACTTTTAAGTTTAAGGGGTGGTAATAATTTTTCAAGGAAGTCACCTGCTTCTGTTTGATGAATAGCTAGTTAACATTTGAAGAATTTTACATTGACGGTAACAATTGTAAATAAAGGATGATGAATCGCCCATAGACTTTACTACATTTTACAACATGATGTGTCTGGTGCACCCATTTTATTTCCTCGCTCCCCTTAGTTTATGGGCTTTTCTTCATTTTTATCTTAAAACATACTTTGGTCAATAGCTTGTCTCTATTTAAAAGCTTTATCCTGTTATCAAGGTTATCAGTCGTCAGATTGGTGCTTTCTGAAAACAAATACTAATTGATATTATATTAGAACGCTGGGGTCGAAGAAGCACTAATCAATCGACACGTCAACAACAATGTTTAAAGTCAGTAGATATAATAAAATTCAGTCGAGGCATGAATTAATTATTACCACGTTGTGCTATACGAACTATTCTTAAAATACGCTTACTAGAGGAATGGTAAATTTAGAGCCCAGAAAGTATGTCTCATGAAATCCAATGTCGATTCCTTAAGGAACAATGAACTCATGAGACAACAGTAGCTAAAAAAATCTAATAAAGAATTATATTAAAATAATGAGGGAATTCTTGAACTTTTAGGAACTAATCAATAGTGTTCACAACTTCGAGTCACTTAGAACAGCTGCCATATTACAATCTGATCAATAAAATTCGGTCATTAAACAACAAAAAAAAGATGACATTACTTATTATTCAGTGAACAATCAATCTCACTGAAATCACTAAGCGACCAAATTTGAACCATTGAAAACCTTGTATACCATTGGACCCCAGTTCAGTCTTCTAGAAGTTAGTCGTTTGCATACGAAATCGAAGGTTCTAGGTTCGATTACCGCCAGTAGGGGGTCGTGGTTGAGTACTGTTAGGGATTTCTATACTGGAACTAAACGGCAGTCTAGTGCTTCCAGGTTTCCAATGGTGGTTTCACTTTAATCGGTCAGCTATTTCAATGAAATTCCACAACCGTGTACTAACAATTAATCAATTGTCAGCATTTTTGTCTTAATAGATGGTGATATTTTGTAAATATCAGGAAAATAAAAATTCTAATTAACATGAAAATACAAAGGGAAACAAACGAATCCATATTCACACCAAAGACGAGTGTGTATAAGAAACAGATATGAAACTCCACACTAAATAATACCAAGAGTTAGCCCAATGAATTGGATATTGTTGAGTTTTAGCTGAGTTCATGATTCGATCAATGTTAAACTACCATTGAAAACCTGGAAAGACTGGATGGCCGTTTCGTCCTAGAATGATAATTTTCAGAGTTCTAATGAGAAGCTGTGACCAGTGGAGTTCCACTGTGTCAGGTGTGGAGCAGTTACTGACCGAAGACGATGGAGGATGGTTACGCAAAATGGTGGATTGTTTGAAGTTAAACATTAACACCGTTGGATGCCGGCTCAGTGCTGTAGCTCGAGACTGAAAGTCCTAGGTTTGAGTCCCACATACGGAATCGTGGATGTGCACTGCCGAGGACTCCCATGCTAAGATGAAACGGCCGTCCAGTGCTTCCAGGTTATCAATGCTAGTCTAACATTGATCAGTTCGTGAACTCATTTAAAACTTTTCGGATTGACATTTTGTTCGAATAATCCCAACATACCAGATTAAATTTTAATTTTAATTCCCACTATACAGTACGTGAAATAAGTACATAAAAGAGTACAAAGAATGTACACATACAGATGTACATGCGTATATAGATCAAACTACTTTGTGTTTTACTGAGGTTGATTCATCATACAAGCAAACAGAATTTAAACTTAACATCTTTCTAAAACAGCTGTAAAGGTGGAAGGGGAATGTGTGTAATTTATTGGGCAACTAAACGCATACAACCATATATATACATCCATATAAATAATCAATGCCATCTCATCTTAGAGGAGTACATATTAACAGTAATAAGTGTGGTATAATAATAACTACACTGTATAATCATAGATATTGATGGGGATGATATAACCGTGATAATGATAAAATCATAGTCCCACAGTGAATAAGCACAATTATTTCGAATTACCTATTGGAAATTAGTTCAACCTCTTCACAGATAAGCATATATATATGCACACATACAAAACTAGGAGTGCCCAGACAATTTTTTATATAAACACCCTCTGTGAAAAGTCAATGTTCCCAATACTTCTCTGACTAATAAAACGAAGATGAACACTAAAACCTTGCAAACACACAAATGTACTTACTAAACCTACAAGTTGCTATACACCCAAAAATTATAGTTATTTAGAAATAAACAGATAATCACTGAGCATATGTATGCACACTACATGGAAGAATTAAGGTAATTCAATCTATAATAACACAGGCATGAATACATACATAAATAAATGAGGAAAAAATTCCCTTAATTGTCGAAAAACATAAAATATATAAACTTGGATGATAACTTGCTTTTTATTGCTAATTACAAGAAGACAATAAACATGTGAACGAATATACGACTAGTGTTCTCTATGCATATTACGATAACAGTAAAGGTGTTCTTTTCATTCTTTCCTTTTATCAGGAAAAAAAGACAAATGTTTGTAGGAATTTTTCTAATTGGGAAAAATGGAGATTTTAATCAAGCCGATCGATAAGTTATTGAAAAAGAATTAAATGTACGTTTGATATTAGATGCTTTCGAGATGATTAATTTCAAAATATGGTATAATAAATGTAGGAAACGATAGAGATTGAACAATTACCATCAAGCTAAGTACAAGGTGTTTAATATAATGGAAGAACAAATCAGTTTATCTTACACTCAACCGTAGCTGTTACCTGGATGTAGTAACGGTTGGGATTGGATATCATAATGATCCAATCGCAAAATATCAGCTGGAACACTTGTTTCTTTAGGCGCTACCAACCATCCTTGGTAATTCGGTTGGGGAGTGATTGGATTTGAAAAGGTTGGTCCTAAAAACATAATACCTCACTTTGCCTCATGGATTTCCATTGCCGGTGACAATTCCCTTTCAGCTTGGAGCTAACACATCGAGAAAAGGTTATGTGTGACCAGCCACAAGCAGTTGTGCATTGAGCTCTGCGGTCGCACTGTTAATCTGACAAGAATACTACTGATTAAGTTTATTTTTCAGGTATCGAAAGAAGAATCCTTACACGGTATGGGCAAATGGTAAGCAACAACTACCCACACGCATCTAGAATTACTTGTTTACTGGTTAATTTCTCCGTCACTTTTAATATTTCTGTTCTCTTCACTGAATAATTGAGTCTTCGTAAATGTGCTACCCGGATTTAGTCATCACTACCCATTAATATATTTAGGAAATTCAATATATGCCATAGTAGGATATATCGTTAATCTTTTGTTATTGAGTTTAAGTCTAAGTAGGATGAACAATAGTAGACAGTAAGTGCATTTTGTAGAAGGATCCTGATGAAAACTTGAAAAAATCGTTTTCTCACGAGGTGTTTCTGATACACCCGGCAAGATGAACTGAGCACATATCGTCACACGTTCACATAATAAATGAGAAACCAGTGTAACCGGCCTAAAGAAGTGAATTCTCCCAGGCAAGATCACTACTCACATGTACCTGTTTGGGTCAGATATAACATCTGCAAACATGAACTGTAAACATTAATTATTGGACTTAAGTAATAAAGTTTCCCATGTAGTATTAACTTTCTTTCTCTATGTAACGATCCATTGGTGTTAGAAGTATACATTGGTGGTTAAATTGAACAGCGAAACGCAATAGACAGATTATCATATTATAATCTGAAATATTCACAATTATTCAGTTGTTTTCGAAAGTTCCTCTAAAAAATAAGCCTTAACATCAAAAACACCTGAAATTCCCAAAAGTATTGAAATGCCTAATTATTAACCCTGACGATGGTATCCAATCCTTAGTGAGATCTTATTAATGATTAGTCCGACTAATAAACATTATTTGATTGGCAATATAGCTCTCTTAGACCATAACGCATTTTTCTAGGGTCATTGGAATAGTATACCACTAAGTAATATTCTAAATACTAGTAATAAATTAGTAATGATTTGTAGATTGTATTCACCACAAATAAATCTCAGTCGGAACATTAGCGAAAAATAGAGAGCACTGAACAGTTATTTCATCATAGTATGGGACTATTCTTCAGCTAAACCAGAGAGGCAACCCAGGACCAGAAGAACCACCGAGTTAACATTAATAATGACAGAAATGAAATTAATAGTGCAGTGTTTTACTAATCAGAACAGTGATGATACATTAGATATGACAGATTTAATCAAACGCTAATCTTAAAGAATGGTGATACTTTGAAACCATTTGAAGAAAACAAGTGAAATTAGGTTCCAGTAAAAAGGTGTCAGCTTATAATATGCAAAATTCGACTAAAAAAGTGGGTTGACATTTTTACTAACTTTTCGACGAGAACGCTTTGAAAGCTTTTCTAGCTCACATGTTGCTCTCTGAAGTTCACTTTTTGCTCGACGCCACTCTTTCCCATTTTCTCGATCCAACTGAGCCACTGAACGTTTCCATTCTTCAAGACGATCGACAAGCGGGGCAGTTAAGCACTCGGTGAGTTGACTAGATTAAAAACAAAATGAAACGATCCCGTGAAAATAAGTCAGATGAATTTGCTTCAAGTAGCAAATAAGGAAAAATAGGCTTGGAACCCTACTATGGCTACTACCAGTCACAAGCCCCGATAAAGGAGGATTGGGAATGTCATTAAAAACTTGATCCCGAAAAAAAAACATACTAAAAACGTTGCCCGGGAAAATTTACTGAAACCATTCAGACTCTGCCGTGTAGTTTAAAGGGTCTTCGCAGAAGATTTATGACGTCTCATGGTTAGATTCTTCGGGAGCCAAGAGCTCGACGCCCCATTTGACAACCAGAGCAAAAATTATTGAGTATCCGGACAACGTATGAAAAGTTCAGGGTAGAGTTGGTTGGAGATTTCTAGTCGATATCAAATGCCCCATAAGAAGTAACAGGTTTAAATAAGCAAAAAAGGAACCTAAAGATTGCGTGTAGATGATTCAACAGCTTTTATATTATAACTACAATATTCCAATAAGTAACTGTGGGTAAATTGTTGTATTGTGGCGTTAAACGCGACTGAGTCAACGCACCAGTGTGGAAAATTCTTTGATCGCAGATCGGAGTAAACGCGAATATGTGCGGCACCATCAGACTCATTTGTGTCCCGAATACGTGGTATTGACATGTGCTGGAATGCATAAAATCTAGACTTGGAAATTCCCGCTGACTGTTCCCAACTAACTAACATGATATAAAATCCACCACTGTTTGAACTTAATGTAATGGCCAGTCTGTGAATACTACCTCTTTCTTGTGGTCGTAAAGTGAAATGACCTGTTCGACGTTAGACCAATTTGACAAACTAGGTTTTGCATATCACCTGGAACACATCAATGTTTGAAATACTAACACTTTTCCAACTGACTAGGACTAAGTATTAGATTTGAGTCATTTTGAACAAATTAGATTTTTAATTGGAAAGCTTGTAAAATAAAATCCCTAGAAATTACAAAATATATTTAATTTCCTCTTATATTTTAGCATCACGTATTTAAGTAAGCATACAGTTTGATTCATTTCACGGTTTACAAATGAATTTCTTGAACAATAAAGCTTATATGAAAGGTTAGAAGCAACCATGAAGTGACATAAAATATATCCAAGTGGACTTTCAGTAGATAACTCCACAGACAAATTAACAAAACAAAAAACTTGAACTTAAAGTCAATAGCAAAGTTACCTGTTAAAAGTGCGTAATCTAGATTCCAGTCCCCGTTCGCGCAAACAGAATCGAGTCATTGAAGAACCCAAATCCTTTAAACCACAGTTGCTGCCATATGCACAATCAGCAATTTTCTGAAATGCTTCTAGAAAACCACCGATGCACTGAATCACAGTTCTTCATAAAAGACAAAAATACGTTATAATTATTTGATCGAAGTAACTGTTTCCTCATATAGGTTGGAATATTTTACTTAACAATAATAATTACACAATGCTCCGAATGATTGACCAGATGAATCATTATGACCTAATTAGTAAGAGGGTCGTTTGTTTTTCAGAACCAAACCCAAAACAGAGAGCACGAATATTCTCACCACTTGACCAAATCTAGAATAATCAGTCATTTAGTGATTTATAGCTGTTATGACTTTTTAGACACTGATTGATTTGAATAATAAGACTCCGAAATATCGATTTGTGTACGAATGGTTCAGAGAAAAATACAATAAAGCTTCTCTATAATGAGGTTTTAAGAACAACAAGTGAACTACACTGGTAAGTAACCCAACTGCTATAACCAACATTTGTGGCGAAATGTTGGGGCAGTAATGAATAAACCCTTCTAAGCTAGACTTTTGATTATTATAAAGTTGTATCAGTCAACAAGAACTTATTTCATAGCTAGAAACGAGAAAGCAAGTGACAAAAGTAGGCTACAAATCGTTTGATTGCGAACAATGCATTCAGCCTACGCCGAATACATTGACGTATTGTTAAGGTCATAAACGGAGAGGGATTTACTCCAACATCTGTATTCATTTTGGTTGACTTATTGGAAAATCTAAAGACCTGAGCATTCTGAGTTTTTTATATCATAAAATGCATTTCACGTAAATTTAAATTTAGATGTTAACAACTTACTTTAGTGAAGCACTCAACTTTGAAGTTTTGTTTATCATATCCTCCCATAATCCTATGGAATTCTATAATGAAAGTAATATTGTGTTTTTTTGTATCACCTTCAAACCCGCGAGCTGAGAATTGAAATTAAGAGAACACGGAGGAAATTTACAGAGATGATCCTGCCTCATTCTTTCCTACAAAATATAAGCAGCAATTAAATATGTTATTAAGATTGTTTAGTTTATTCTTATTTCTGTCTAAATTCGGACGCGTACTCAAGATAATAAAAAAACTAACCATGGCCACAACCAAAAGACCGCATTAAGTCAGCTTCAAAACCAGCGCTTTAATGAGTTAAATTATATTAGCACATTGCGTTACGATTTCGTCAGAAAATGGAAAAATGTTCGAGAGCTGTAAACGGAATAAAAGTTTGTCACTAAAATTAGCAACCTCTCTCAGAACAAATATGACGACTGAATAAGGTTTATCTTGAAATATGTTTACTATGTAGCGTGGCGGCGAGTCGCGGTTCTTTGTTGAATGTGCGATATCACACTTTCCCAGAAAAAATAAGCACGGTGAGCTTCTTGGCATTTGATTTTGAGCTGTTAAGTTAAGTCTCTGAGTTTATTAATGGACGGTTTTTGTCTTGATGAATTCAGAATCATTTGGAAAACCGATTTTATTTTACACACACAATGTATCCAAGCCATTCACCTGGTGTTTGATGGTGTTTTGTTGTTTTGTATGGATTTCTTGTTTTATATAAATTTGGGCATTTCGAACAAACGGCTTTGTGCTTAGCACGTTGCAAAGCTTATTATTTGAATGGTTGGAACTCCATGCATGACGATGTAGCTGTGAATAGTTATGTAAGTCTTCGACATTGGTGCTAAACTATTCGGCTTATATTGCATACACTCTGGTTGAAAACGTCCATTCACTCATAAGAACCAGATCACGAGTCTGTACACGTGCTACGCATCCCATGCAACTGCAGTCCAGTTTAGACCAAACGCTTCTCGACATTTCGGTAGCTTTCCAAATATATCTTCCAATTCTTTCCTTTCTCACTAGACCGAGTTGATCTACTTTGACTATGAAAGTGTTACGTGCGAAGATGTTGTCATATTCTGAATACTTGTGCTGTTTTAATTCGTGAGATAAATGTGGGCCGGTACATCAAACAATAAACTGTGAATCTGTTCCTTGTAGGAATATCAAATATCTATTTTTATCCTTTTTTACAAATGACGATATGGTTTTTATGTCTTCGGCCATTTTTCCCGCCCATGAGTACATCTTATTTTAATTATTTCGGACTGGAAATAAATTCAAAATCTTTCGCCTCCTACCTTTGTGTCTCGACAGTCCCGAAACCTGGTTCTGTCACACTGAGGCTGATGTCCACGAGCACGGTGTGACAGACCCACGTGCACAATTGCAGGCAGTAGTCAAAGCAATAACGCGAAATTTTAACAGCTACGTCACACTTGGCATGCTCACCACTTATGTTTCTGAAACCTACGACACTTTAAAAAGGCTATCCTTAAACATGGAGACATAACGGATAGACACGGTTTAGACCAGTTCTTCCACAACATCGAGTTGCAACATGGTTCGGCAACAGATTGTTGCTATGTATTCGAGAGGTCATTGGACAACGAACTTTTGATGGGAATGCGTTAAGGCAACTCTCCTTTTCAAAGCTTCCCTAACAAGTGCAAGCAGTCACTGTTTCATTTCAAAATAACGCTGTAGACAAACTGGTTACATGTGCCGTCAGGATTATTAAGATCATCAGAACTACCGGCATCGAAGTTTATTCTGTCGAAGAAAATAGTCAAATGACGCAAAATGACTTTACAGACCTTTATTACTTGCCATCCTCATATTCGTCAATCGTAGTCTTACCCAGACTTCATGAAGAAGCCCATCGTGACAAAGATGCGTCTCTAGACTATTAGGGACAGATGATATCGATTGGTTTTGGTACAACAATAAAGATCGTAAGTTAACTAGAAATTGCAGAACAACCTGAAATTTCTCAATCTTTTAATAGTCCAACACTCAAAAACTTCAGGAAACGTAAACACCGGCACGCATTCACTGCAACCGTAGCCAACGGACACAGACGACTGATCATGCAGTAAATCACCAATTCAGATGGTTGGAACACGTATTATGTGTGCCCAACCGCCGACTATCCGGACGGGCGATGTTTCACGGTTCAGTGGTGATCTGAAGAAAGCTATGGGCGGCTAAACCAAAACATGACATCATTTCATGAAGCCAGTGACAATTCAATTTATACATGTAAATAGATATAGACCACCTGATTCGGGCTACTGTGATCATCATAACCAGGGGTTAGAGGCATCAAATTATATGGTTCAAAATGTTTTGCAGCGGTGCTTGTGCATCCATCCTTTGTCTTCCCTCAAACTATAAGATTCATAATTACCATGACGTTTTTCGTGTTTTTACTTTACTTAGGTTTGTTTTCATTTTGATTCGTATCTTCAGTGCCTAATCTTTATTGTTACCACTGATACTGTCATTACATCTACTATTCTGAAATTCCACGTGACGATTTCGTCTTCATGTGGTTATGGGGTATGGCAACTTGGACCAATTTACATACGTACAAGTTCTATGTTGGGCTCGACTGACCGACCGATCTGATCGTATTGAAGAGGAAACGTTTTGAGGTAAGGTACAATTTGAAGGAATAAGAGACTGAGTAAGAATAGTCGATTTGCGTCGTAGTATGACAAGACAGTAATGAATGGACTTAAGGAGTAGCGTATGGTTCACGCCCATGTATGCTGGGCAAGCCAGATTCCCAAAGATCGTCTAAGTAATTTGACGTTTCTGCCCAGAAAGTGGATAAATGAATCACTGTTTTGAATAGTCTGAATTTTAATAAGTTTGACAACAGATTTGAAGAATTCGAGCGTAGGGTGGAAAAATGGTTATTTTGCAAAAACAAGCATCTGATTGAACTCCTTCCCGTTTGATTGTTATGCTCAAATAGTTGAAGTCAGATAGAGAAGTAATTTTGTTGAACCCTATTCCAGACTGTATTATTAGGCTTTTAGTGAGCCACATGGCAGCTGATTTTACAACTCAGTTGGCACGAGAAACTCACACAAACCAGACAATGCAGGTTCAATTGATATTTACTAGAAAGAGAAATTAAGTTCAAAGTGGTTACCTTACCTTGAAATGAGCCTCGTTTGAGTTAGGTTAGTGACTAGGCTTAAGGAGTAAAAATTCTTTTCTTGTGAGGTAAAACTTCAAACTATGTCTTAATAGTGATTTAAGACTTTTAAGTTTACTCACTACAGAAATAAGTTTTCATGAAATTGATATTCTTCAACAGTACTGTTGTGAGTCAGCAATACTTTTGTTACATGACTGTCAACGTCGATTAGATTGCATTGCCAAAAATGTTCTAATCAACTCAGATATCATTACGGCCTTAAAATCACATTTCAATTAGTATAAATTAAGTTAACTAATCTGTAGATAGTAAAACGACCTGACTTCAAATGTTTATCCATACCCAGAAAACGACTTATCATATTCAAGATTGGTTCAGTTATGTCCCACTACTATGTTCTATATATTTTAATAAGTCTACTATAAAGATAAAAAATTTTGGAAGTCCAAAATGCTTAAATAATGTCGCTTGTCAACTACGCAGTTTTAATTTTCCCTGATTCTACACGACGTACCATACACTAAAAACGGTTGCTAACTACACTTACTAAGTACATAGGAATCGTGACGAATATTCTTAAAAAATTAGATCAAATTCAGTCTACGAGAATCCAGTTAAAAAGACAAACGTTCCTAACAGACATTCACTAAACGACAACAAGGACTTTACCATGCTGTAACCTTGAGTCTCGTCAAGATAGAGCATGTTGTCAGTGATCCGGCATCATACAATATCGAAGCAAAATGATAAAGGTTAATCTTAAATAAATTCAAATAATAAAGACTTAACCAAAAAAGATCAAGTATAAAATTAAGGCTGCAGAAGTCCTGGACAAAAATTAACCTGCAATAAGGAAGGAGATTTTACTCTGCAGAAAACAGCAGAGTGGGCATCTAACTAAATACACCATGGGTACACCTGTAACCTAAATCTCAGCACTACCTCGGAATCTATGGTATCTGATTTTATGGAATATAGCTGTAGCGTGGCGTCGAGTTGAGATTAACTGTGAACACCGCTACCAAGAAACACGTGCCAAATGAATCAGAAGGCGTAAGAAGCTCGTTAAAATGACTCCATAAAATCCCCGGGAAGCCGAATATCAGAAGGCAATTAATGGACCAAGTCGAGGTTTATTTGCTGGCGATCTCGTGGCATCGAGATGATACCGAGATCGTGCCAGGATACAAGCTTGGTTACAGAAGGTAACCGAATTCGCGCGAAGTTACAATCAAAGTGTAAGTAAAAGAATGGAAGCACAAAATAGCTGTCATTAGCACAGTCAAACAAAAGCACGTTAAAACAAACACTGGTACAGTTGGTTATAATAATAATTGTTTTTATTAAACCAGTCGTGTTCTCGTGATAAATGTGAGTCACTACATAGCGACTTCAAACATAAACGCTACATTGATCTACTTATCAGATCAGCAAGGTTAGGGTTAGACGAACAGATAAGGGTTATCAACAAGTAATTTATCCTTTAATACCACCAAAGTTTTAAGTCTTAAAATATATAGTAATATATGCTGTTAGTCTTAAATTCATCAGCCATCTCGTTGAGAATTCCATTTAGACGGAATTCTGTGTCGTCAAGGCCGTGCCACTTAGGAATTCACGTCACTCAAAAAATCAACTATCAGCTACACTCTTTCTGTTAAACTATTTAGCTAATTCTCTCACAATCAAGATCACATTAGAGCCATTGTACAGCAAGGAATATTTATCTTCAGTTATTTATAGATTACGTCCAGTCGCAAGAATTGATCAACTATGAATATTCCCATCTTTTAACTTCCCAAGTAAGGGAATTGCCTTACTTGGAACTGTACCAGCCCTATATTTCAGTAATATGCGATAGGTGTAGTCGTGGCCTTACCCCTGAATTTCTATTGACCTATCCTTTGCTATACAACTAATCAAGCGAATACGTCACATTTATCCTAATATTTAATTGAGTCACATAAGATATAACTACACTTTTACCAAAGGATTTCTCGAATTAATCGTATAGGTCCGTATTCAGAAAAAGTACACATTGATTGTTGGAGTAAATTGCTCTGCCTCAGAG